TTCTCCGACGTAGTTGCTTTGTCCCCAACCGTAGCAGATTCTATAAACGACTTCAGATTCTTCTTGCCATAGTAGTAGGTCTTTTGGTTTAATTATCTGAGGCCGTATGGTTGCCTCCCAAGGGTACTGGAAGGCGGCCGACGGCCTCCGAGACGTTTTTGATGGACAGGATCGATTGCCAAAATTTTGGGTCGGTGCGATTTTGTTGCTCAGCTCGTCTGCGCGTGCACCGGTTGACAAGGTTGCGCAACTTATCGTGCTACTTCATGTGCATGCAATATCCGTTTCTGCTATTGTCTCGTGTCTCTGATGATGTATGTGCGACGGATTTCGAAACGTCAGGTGGATAAACGTCTTGTTCGAACAGTTACCTCTTCTTCTGTTTCTCAGGCTTCGATTATTTAACTGCTTCTATGCACTGATACCTGATAAATCTATACGCTTACTGGGACATCTGCGGTTCATTGCAGCGACCAATTCACTCGCTCTGCCAGGGTCTACCTCGCAGTCCAACAAAAAGCCGACGAGCCAATTTCACTCATTATTCTCCCTCTTCATGCCTGCTCGAGATGGCAGTAAATCTTGCTCACCCAACAACCTACCGGAGATCCGCCTCAACAACAACAACTCCACAGGAAAAGCCGCTACGCTGAAATATGGTCAGCAGCAACAGCACTCCCGAGAGGACCGGCTGCGTGGGATTGAGGAACAGATTGGACGACTGTCTGGCTGCTTCCACCTGTGCGCAGACCAAATCACTGGTTCTACTCTCGGCCTGTCCAGCAAGAACTACCTGGTGCAGATTGAGCTGCAACCTCAGTCTAGCCTGCACGGCTCGAGGATGTCCCTCTTTAACCTAGGCCCGCGGGACAGTCCCTTGAAACCCTTGGGGGGGAGTTCACTCTCGCTGACTAATGATACTTCCACGCCCTTCTGTTGGTGCTTTCAGCTTTCTGCCAATCAGACTGGCTTCTATGCTTCTTCGGCAGAAGTGAATGCCTCAGTGACCGGCTACGTACCTCGTTACTCGACGTACGCCTTGAGTGAGACGAAAGCCAATCTGAGTCCGGAACCATTTACAACGCTCGTCGTCAAAGTGAGTGCTGGAGTGTGTATTTATACTTGATAAACAAAAATGGAAGTTCTCCGGCAGTCCAGGTGACCCTGTGCAGAATTCGACGCGGAGGGTTAGGATGATGACAATGATAATGATGAAGATGATGCTTAAATTATGCTTTAAGTGCTCATGTTATTAGGTATGATGCTCGGTAAGGTGCTGCTCACACCAATTATTAACCCAATTCATTATGATGGCAGTGGGCATGGCTGTGTCGAAAATTATTGTTGTAGCCGATTATTATAAGTACGATAATATCATTTGTGCTATTT